CTTATCATTACTTTGTGTTGAAGTAATGACAAATCAACTTTTTAACTTCCTCTATCATATATAGGAAAGACATAGAAAGTGAAATTCCTAGTTTGAGATATTTTTGAATAAATTTTGCGATTTTCGTATGTATCTAGTACTTCTGAAGACTGTTTACATATATTCAAGAATAAAATCATCTCATGGATATGGCGAACCTGTCCCTTTAAGAAGATACAGAAACAACAGAACATAACATCATTTCAGTCCGTTTATTAACTGTACTTGAATTGATTAGGAAAATTGTCGAAAACAATTGGAAATTTATTTTCAAATGTGTATAGTGATATGATATCATTTTTAAAGATAGACAATCCTTATAACATCTATTATTTTAGATATCTTATCTTTAATCAGTGAAGTTTATTAGATTAACAAAATATTATCAAATTTTAACCCATTTAATTCAGAAATAAGTCGAGTTTGATTTTTAGGTTAAAGGGATTGTAAAGATGTTTTCTAAATTTTGTATGTGTATCAGGGACACTGATAGCATCAATTTGCACCATTCCAATTTTTCAAACAGATGTCTGTGGTTCTTGCAATTCCTGTAAGTGTTCGATGAAGTCACATCACAAAATATGCTGTATCATGTAAGAGCTTCATTGCAAGACTTCTGAAAATTGGAATGATGCAAATTGATGCTATCAGTGTCCCTGATTCACATACTAATTTTAGAATATCTTTTAACAATCCCTTTAATGATGTCATGTTCTGACCAAAAGGATTAGGAGATGTGCTATCTTAGCTGGCTAACACTTTTCCTGGCAAACCTATAGATCTAGGGATTGATCCCTTTATAGGTCCATAAAAGACCTTCCAAACTGGTGTCCCCTTTTCAGTGATGCAGATCAAAGGGTCTGATATAGAAGCAAGGGTCTGTAGCTGTTGGCATGGGAAAACAAATCAATACAAGGCCTGTATGTAAAATTTCCCTCATTGTACAGTGCAGGGTGTTGCTAAACTTCACTGGCCTTATTTAATCTCTACGAAATAATTTGAACTTAATTGACTTTTAATCATCAGTTTAAACACTCCTTAGATAGTTCATTTGTTTCAGTAAGACCAGACGGCAACTAGACATGATTCATTATCAATCAATGTTTTAAATAAACTTAGACCTTCTTTTACATTTTGGTGTTTAACTTGTTTAATAGTTACCTTCAAAGAGATGTAGTAGACCTTTTGAAGTCTTCTTAGTGATTGTTTTATAATGTCTTAATCAATGATTTTCTTGTAATGTCTTTTAGGGTGGTTGTCTTGTAATGTCTTATTGGGTGATTGTCTTGTTATGTCTTATTGGGTGATTGTCATGTAATGTCTTATATCTTATAGGTGATTGTCTTGTCTTGTAATGTCTTGTGAGTGATAGTCTTGTAATGTCTTATATCTTATAGGTGATTGTCTTGTAATGTCTTATTGGGTGATTGTCATGTAATGTCTTATATCTTATAGGTGATTGTCTTGTAATGTCTTGTGAGTGATAGTCTTGTAATGTCTTATATCTTATAGGTAATTGTCTTGTAATGTCTTCTGGGTGATTGTCTTGTATTGTCTTCTGGATGATTTTCTTGTAATGTCTTATTGGTATTTGTCTGATATTGTCTTATGAGTGATTGTCTTATATTGTCTTCTGGGTAATTGTCTTGTAATGTCTTATAGGTAATTGTAATGTGTAATTATAGGTGATTGACATTGTAATAGAAAGAAATAGGTTGAAACCCCTGACTTAGATGACAATCTGAGCCACCATCCAAAATGAAGCTATTCCACTGCCCAAATTCTATTGAGATCACAAGAAAATCAATTATTAAAGGACTGTGTCTAAATTAGTAAATAATATGTTTAGTGAATGAATTAATTCAGAGAGTGAACTCTAGAGAATTAGATAATCTTACCAGTCAACCAAACAGACTTGTTTTATAGCCTGTTGTATGGTTCGGCCATATTGGATTTGATTCTCTTGTGACCAAACAGAACTTCTATTTTAGTCTTATCACAGTTTGTTTGAAAGCATTTAGTCTGCAATCTCAATATATTGTATAAATGTTTAACAGGTTATATCAATATATGCATTGAGTTAATCAAATTATTTTCTGAATTCACAGTCCAAAGTAGTCTTGATCTGTTGAAGAAAATGAAATAACCAGTTCAATGTGCTCTCCAATAGATTTAAAAGCCATTCAGTAATCCTTTGTATTTATCGTCAATTGGTAATCATAGTACTGATTTCATGTGATGCTCTAAAAATAATGAAGTTCTGAAAGAAAATCTGACGAAAAATATCAGGCAACAACTCGAAACCAAAGAAAAATACAGATGAAATTTGTGGGAAAATTTTGGCCAACCAGCCTGCGCTCCCCAACAGGCCTTCGATGATTAACAATGATTTGTCTTAGTAATATATCGACCAGAATAGAGTCCATAGCTGACTTAATGCATGTAATCTCATATTATGACTATTGGTTTACAATGATTCATTTTATCATCATTTCTGATTCAAATCTTACAAAGTTTTTGTTTTTACTCTCTTTGTATATAAATGCTAGTATTTCTGAATGGTCAGCCTAGGATTTTTGAACTACCAGATGTGATTACGAGACAATCAGGACATAGTACCAGCAAACAATGGCTGCTGTTAATGGCCAGATGGTGAAAAGCTGCACTAAAAAAGTTTATATTTTCAAAAATCAGTGGTTAAGATGGAAATACAACATTCCAGAATTGGCTTCATGCTATTTTAATTTGATCATAAAACTTTTTAAGTATAGAAAATAAAAAAAATTCTGTGTATCTTGGGTTATTAAAACTTTATGACTGTTGCCTGTAGCTTGATAAAAATATTTCATTTGAACACAAAACAGTATTTAAATCCTTTATTGCTTTTAAATGATTACCGTTTATGGCACATTAAAACTTCAAGGTGTGAAATCAAGTTGATCTCATAAAAAATAAACCTTTTAGGTATTAAGAGTAATGTGCCTTAATTTGCCTATGGTGTCACACTCTTAAGTGTGACTTATGGCTTAAGGCTACCTATCAATTACTACTAAGTATAACTTAGGCAAGAGTCAATTGCTATCAATAATAACCAAAAGGCGTTTAAGATCCAAACATCCTGAGGGAGAGCTCATCCTCTAATTAATCTCTAATTTAATTATGGGATATTAATAAGAACTGATTGATAGGTTTTTTAATGATGTCACCCTTACATAAGGTGTTTTTACTCCCATGTCCTCTACCTTATATCTTAGAACTTAAAGATGGGTTCCCTTTATTTTAGCATTTTGATTTTCATAAATAAAAGTAAGGGAACCCATCTTTAACAGTGGCATTAGCCTACTCTTTTTGGATCTCCAACTGCCAAGGGATCATTAACATGCACAGTCTGTAACACACTGGGGGTTGGTATGTTGTCCCATCCGAATGACTGGACACTTTTTCCATGTCAGCCTCTCTAGCCAACATCACTGACAGGGGGAAACCAGATTGTATTATCTCGACCTATGCTGGAATTGAACCCAATATGGTTCCTGCCAATGATTCAGGATGAACAAGGCGACATGGAAAATGCTTAAATAGAACCATAAATGAAAAAGATTTTCAACAGTTGGAAATAGAAAAAGAGTGGGCTAATTATGCTGGTTAAAGGGACGGATGCAACATTTTTTGACCAATCATACAGAAATTTTTAACTAATTTTTTAACGTCAGAATTTGAGCCTTCAAATCCAAGGGTGTCCAGAATTATCTGTGTTTGAAAGTTAAAAAGACGAGTCATCTTTTCTTGAGACACTGCCAATTATAGAAAAGACATCTTTTGAAATGGGAAAAGATATTTTTGAAGAAATTATGCGATTTTCATACATTTCTAGTAATTCTGAAGACTATCGACATAAATATTAAATTCCCCAAAAAGGTGCCACTGTCCTTTTAAGACAATATAACATTGAGGATGCATTAAAAGGTGTTAGATTCAATATTGACTCAATACACATGAAGTTTGTAATATAAATATTTACTTAAAACAACATATCAAATTCAAGTCATGAAGTCTTCAAAGGGAGATTTGCGTACTTGTTCAATAAAAAGTGATAAAGTCTTACTCCTAGTGTTCAACAATATGTGGATTTTTGATTTTTATTAATAGTCTTCAGAGTACCAAAAATGTACGAAAATCACATAATCCTTTCAAATAAACCCCAAAAAGAAATTTCACTTTCTATTTCTCTATACCCTTTCTATATATGGCAAAGTCTCAAGAAAAGATGGGTCGTCATTTTAACTTTCTAACGCAGATAATTCTGGACACACATTCATTTGATGGCTCGGATTTCAATGATGAGCTATGAACACTATCATTGGCTAGCTTAGCTAAAAAAAAATTTGCAAGTTTCTAAAGTGCGATTGGTTAAACGTATGGTGAACCTGTGCCTCAAAAAGGTGTGAAATTCAAAGATATGCTATCTTTAATAAGGTATTCTATAGAGATTATATCTATATTATATAGTTATTATTAAGTTAATAAAAGATTAGAATAGTCACTAGCAGACATATCTTAGTTTCTATACTCTTATCCTATCATAATACTTACATTATATCAAAGATTTTATAACCATCATCCCTCACATGATGGTTTGAATTTCAGAGTTTTCTTGTAAAGTTTAGTAGATAATTATGACATGATGATCTTGAGATGGCAGACAATGATCTCTGGGTGATTGTCATATTCTTTCGGTGAATGACTCATAATGTCATGTTCTTCAGGTGAATGTCTCATAATATCATGTTCTTTGGGTGAATGTCTCATAATGTCATGTTCTTCAGGTGAATGTCTCATAATGTCATGTTCTTTGGATTAATGTCTCATAATGCCATGTTCTTTAGGTGAATGTCCCATAATGACATGTTCTTTGGGTGATTGTCTCATAATGTCATGTTCTTTGGGTGATTGTCTCATAATGCCATGTTCTTCAGGTGATTGTCTTGTCGTGTTCTTTGGGTGAATGTCCCATAATGTCATGTTCTTTAGGTGAATGTCTCATAATGTCATGTTCTTTAGGTGAATGCATCATAATGTCATGTTCTTTGGGTGATTGTCTCATAATTTCATGTTCTTTGGGTGATTGTCTTGTAATTTAGTGTCAGTAATTGTCTTATGCTGTTATATGGGTGATTGTCTAATTATGTATTGGAGGCGATTGTCTTGCAATGTCTTTATTGGAGATTGTCTTGTAATGATCTCTGGGTGATTGTCCATAAATGGAATTATGGGTCTTTAAAGGGACTCTCAACACTGTAGCTTGTTATTTGGTTTGAACTATGGCTGCTATAAATAAATCTGTGACAATCATGTGACTAATGAACTATATTCTAATGATATCTCCTTATGATTGACCGTTTCCTATCAGTCATTTGTTCTACCCACACTACAATTGTCAGTGGAATGAACTTATTGACCTTTTGACATGCCCTTGTAATAATTGTGAAACATATCTAGATTAGTAGTGGTGTATGGAATTATTGGAATTGGTACTAAAGCAGAAAATAGCTGGCACTATTTCTATGAATTAATTCCTGTTATTATATGAGAGATATCTTATTACTGCTGGAACGATATCAGACTTAATAAATTCAAATTATATTCATACAATCCCGTAACACTTGAGTTATGTTTGGGATACAGAATGCAGTCATTCAGGAAAACTGTAGTGTCTTCTCGAGGTAATATTTATGTAATTTTCATAATATTTTGCCGAATTTTGCGTTGTTTGGGAATGATAGCATTAACAAGGAAGCTTAGGGCATCACCCAAGTGTTATTTGCTGCAGTTTGCTACTGTATGATTAGTTTGTCAATTGGACAGGCTTTCTAGTAATAAGAATGGTTCCACCAATGGCAGACAACCTCCTGAGACTGGGGTACATAATATATAGGGGGACAGACTATCTTAAAGGGGGGACAACTGTCAAAGTTGAGATTCAAAATGCTCTGTGGAAGTACTATAGCTGTAAATCTCTCATAGAGTGTCTTGAGAAAATTATTGTATTATTATATTATGTTTCTGTATGGAATACAGGTCTATATGTGGGTACTCAGGATTTTGATACTGATGGGTAATGTATGACCCAATCAGTTACTCTTTTGTAAAAAGGATATTATCAATATTATAATTATTATTATTACATTGTCTTTTCGCAACTTTAGACCTAGGCCTACTGCTTCCTTTAACCTATAAAGATTATTGAGGGATTAACTATTGAACTGTTATTTAATATCAACCACAGATTATCATAATACCCCTTACTTTTACACCTGATTTCATTATTGATAGAGATTTAAGCAGGATTTAACGGTTGGGGTTTTAAATCTGCCAACTAGATTGGTGATCATAACCCTTAAGGATTAACAATACAGCTTATAGAGAGATTCAAGCTTAAGAGGTTTTCCAGTGCATGTATCAGGATCACTTATTGATAGTGGTGTTTCTAGTAAACATCAGGTGAGGTAGGCGATCAGGGGCCACAAAATTTTCCAGAGGGCCACAGACCATTCTCTCACTATTTAAAATGATAAAAAAAATTGTGGGAAGAGGAAGCAAAGTGGAAAAATGTGACGTATTGAATTGAGTCGATATTCTCGACAGACATACCTCCCCTCCTATAAAAGCCACTTCTAATTGATATGAATTGCATCAAGGGGATTATCAATCAGATATCTATGATTCCTTGAAAATTTGGCCAAATTTTTATGACATCATTATAAGTATCATTTGAGCCAAACAAATTTTTAACAAGGATAACATCTTATTTGATGTCACCATACTTTCAATCACTGACTGAGATTATAACCCGCACCTCTACTTGTGCAAATTCTATCATGTACAGATTTCAACTCTCTTATACATTGTACTACATCATGTCCTGAAATCTTTATTTCTATTAGCTAGTTATTGAAAGTTATTGATCAAGTACTGTATAGTTGTTATTAATGTACTAATTACCTACAATGTAAACATGAATAACTCCCTGGTAAACAAAATGCAGTACAGGATGCTGTGATCAATATTTGTTTACTTTTTGAATATATAACTGATTTCCTGTCATATCTTACTCATAATCTTTTATAGTTCAACTTGGTTTATCGTTTCAATTGATAAATGGATTTAGAAATTTCATACAAGTGCAAAGAAATGTAATAAAACACCTGATAACATTTTGCCACTTGTTTTGTCAATTCTGCTTCATTTTAGAGAGGTTCCATGGCTAACAATGTTTCATTGATAAAACCTATTTATTACAATAATAAAATATTTTCACTGTTAAAATAGTGCCCAATACATTAATTGTACAGCAATATAGAATATTAAAATGGAACCTGAAACATGTTGTTATTTAGAATTCTCATAGCATGAAACTGGTAACAAAATTAACATGTTTCAGGTTCTGTTTAATATTTCTAGCCTATTTATCCTATTTATTATGCAGTCTTAAAGAGCTGTTTAATAAATCATTTAATGAGAGCATTGTGTTAGAAATGAAACAGCACTCTATGTAACTTGTTTGTATATAAAGAAATTAAGAAACACTTCAGTTGGATGCAAAATTATGTCATGGATCAACAAACTTTGCATTTCATTGTTTTTTAAGGTTGACTTCCCATGCAGATATTTATAATATGAATTATCATAAAATGAAATTAACACTTTTTAGGGTGCTGCATATTCACAATAGCAAGCTATTACAAACTGGGTCTAATACCTTGACTTCAGTTGGCTCTTTTCTTGTATCATGGAATGCAGCCATTTTAATTGGATTGTACACTAGCAAATACTGTCACTCAGAGACTTTGACATAAAGATTTCACACATTATGCCTTATGGGTTAGAGATTTTCTGTCAAGGTTTTTGATTGGCTGTATTTGCTAGCCTACAAACCAGTCAAATCACTTTAATTACAAACTTCCATGATACAACAAAAAAGCCTAATGAAGTCAAGGAATTAGACCTAGTTGATATTGTGAAGATGGTTGTGCGAGCATGGACATTTTTTCTGAAATTTACACTTCAGTGAATTGGTTACAGAAAATGTAATCAGAGTTAATTGCTATTGGAAATTTCGACAAAATATAACCTGTAGTCTCAGAAGTTGGTCAAAGGGGAAATTGGTCACAGAAAACATAATCACAATGATTGGTCACAGTAATTGGTCACAGAAATTGGTCACAGGTATTGGTCATAGTCATCCATGTGACTGATTCATTGTGACCAAAATTCCTGTAACCAAGTAACCTAGAATGAAGCCATTGTTAATCAATCACTACTAGATTCTATCTTATCTTGCTATAGCATCAGAGATACATTTAGGTTGATATGTATAGCTGATAAGTATCTGTAACAATTCTGGTATATACCCATCTTCACTATGTCAAGATATTACTGACTTAGTCTTGTACCTTGACTGCAATAGCCATCATTCTTGTGTCACAGATGTTTGTAGATGAAACGATTTGATTGGATGGTATGCCAGTGAATACATCCAATAATGTTTACAGTCCTTCTGTCGATGGCTCTGATTGACTGTTTTTTTTAGCCTAAAATCCAATAAAATCTCTTCATTCAATGATACAAGAAAGATTGTTATGGCAGTCATGAATGGATTTTTACGTCCTACTTTCTGCACCATGTGGGTTAATGAAGAAGGTTGCTATTGTAGTCAAGGTATAAGACTAAGTTAGTAATAGTTTGACATAGTGAAGATGGTTATGTAATAAAGTTACTAACACATTATAAAAATATTTGATTATTAGAGTGATGTTAATGAAAGACTTGGTGTTTATTATATTGTATATCATACAGATGGAACTTATCTTGTGCTACTTCACATTCTGTCAAATTCCATTCCAAGCATTCCATTGTCAATTTTTTGTATGAATTGCAGGAAAATTGAAATTAAGATTCCATGAAGCCCACATCTTATTTACTCTTAAAGTTCCTTAATTTTTAGTTTAATCTTTCAATGAAACTTAGTGCATGCGCTTTTGAGCTATAGTCTTTCATGTCTGGCAAATGCAAAAACTTAGACCAGGTTGTCCAAACATGTAAAGATAATACTTTGATTTCTAGAAACCATTAGAAGAATCATTTCTTCTTTCAAGCCAAATGACCTTCATCAAGGTCATCGGGTCTGAATGGATGGTCAGTTGCCATTGTAGCCTTTTAAAAACGTAGCTCACCTTAAAGAGATTGTAAAAAGGTGTTCTAGTGTATGTACATGTGTATGAAAAACATCTAGCTTCCATTTGCACTGATCTGTGGATTTCTGCGGCTTGGTTATGACATCACTATCTGAAATACCATTGAAGCCAATGAGGTTTTTGTAATAGTGGTGTCAAGATTTATTGGAATTGCTGGAACCATAGACTTCTGACTCATGGTTCAAATTGTTACTATCAATATCCCTGATGCACATAAAAAGTTTATAAAAACATCTATACAATCTCTTTAATAATGTTAAAATGTTCTCTTTAAAATCAGCTGATCACCCTAGACATGAAGGAAAATTACTACTGACCCAGTAACCGTCTCAATAGCTGCTATTGGATTAAAATGGGATTTTGGTGAATTATGCTGTCCATACAAATTAAATGAGATGCCTGGAGTCAGTTAAAGGGTTACGCATAATTACACAAGACTTAAACCAATTTCAAACAAAACCTTTCAAGATATTTACAAATAGATTACTACATGTAAAATGTCAATACCAAGTGTGGTAAATGCCGTCTGGCTGAGACGTTCCCGAACTCGACCTCAAACCAAACAGACGTATAAAAAAAACTGTGTCAGTAAAACAATTGATGTTCTAGTGACCTCAATATTCTAGCAAAAAAATCAACACAGCTAATGAGTTCTGCAAACAAATGACCATGCATATGGCTTCTTAGAACACAAAGGTATTCACTTTTCTTTAAGCACACAATACAAGCAACGTCTTTACAACTGGTAGTGTTTGTGGCTAGAAAATTCTGTCTTATCTCTTTGCCTTTGAAATTTGAAGGTTGTGTTTCTGGTACAAAAGGATTTGAATTTTACTCAATGCTTCCTTAAAACAATTCTAATAATTAAATGGTTCCTATGCAATTGA